TCAAATATGACTGTGGCTATATGCAATTATTGCAGCTATCAATTACGGTCTTTGTATTCAACTATAGCTATCATAGTCGAGAACCACATTTTTTGTAGCCAAATTATGACTAGTATATCTAAAATCCTATTATACATGTGTAATTACCAGTTTTGTAATTTCGTTTTCTCATATTTAAGAGAAAAGTATTAGACCTGTTTAGTTACACTTACATATGAGATTACTTTAACTGGGTTAGACCCCTGACTTTTTCCTTTACAGGATTTTTTCCATTATATCTCCTTCTGTTATTGTTCTTTTGACTTTGTATGTTTTGGATCTTCATGAATTACTGAGAAATTAAATAACTATTCTTCCGCCACTAATTTTTCGACCTGCGACAATATGGTTTATAGTTTAATCTAAATAAAACATAATTAGCATGTTATATTTGACATAATGAAAAAAAAAATCATTTTTTTTAAATTACACAAAATAATTTAAATTATGTTATTTTTTTAATAAAAATGATTTATTTAATAAATAAATGAAATTGATCCCAATTAATTTTGGTCTACAACTAATCATTTGGCATCCTTAATAATATTTAGCTAGCCATAAATATATTTTTCTATCCCTAATGATCTACTAACAATAAACTAATAAAATAACCATGATAAATTAAAACTACCATTATAAAAGTATAATAGTGAAAAATTGTCATCACAAAACCGACGTGTCCACATAGAATGAGATTGCATTATATCATTCGAACACTAATTGTTGCATCACAAGACATCAAAATAATATTAATAATAATAAAATCAAACTTTATCTGAGCATATTAATGCATAGAATATTTAATCATGCTAATCATTTATTACAAACTTAAAACACCTTAAATCACTAATCAGTTTTGATCAGAAAACCATTAGTGAGCACATCATCTTCAGAAAACATCAAAAGCTCATCAAAAAATCACTGATCAGAACCATCAAAATTTCTTGAAGAAATTATAAATGTGTTCAGATATCTCTTCCGGCTTTTCCTGGTTAATGAAATGCCCAATTCCTTTCATAATAATAACATCCTCCAGCAACGGAACACCTCTCTTAAACCCTCCTTTTTCAATGTAGTCCTTCATTGCTGCCATATGGTAGGTCAAATCTTCATCCCCTGTAATGAACTTTGTGGGCACTGTAATCTGAATCCCAGTCCAAGGTGCAAGCAGTTCCCAGTTCCTGTATCACAGGATCAGTCCTACTGGCTCAGAATACGCAGATTGATTTGAGTTTGAGTCAATGGAGAACATAATAAAAATACCTGTTTAAGTTACGGTAATAGTTGATTCCACCTGTAAAACCCGTCTTACTAAATTTGCTTGCAAAATAGTCGATATCATGTTCAGAAAGCCAAGATGGCAACCTGATTTCTTCACTATTTCGTCCCAAAGATCCATTATCCGCTATAAGCAAAGGCTTTGGACTAAAGGAAGTCAGCAAAATCTTCATGAGTAATAGTGTGTCGATTCGGGCAAAGTGTGTTTCAACTTTGCCAGGCTCCTGGTCGTGATGGAAGGGATTGGAAAGTTAATAGTGAATCATAGAGGGGTAAATTCATTCATGATTATTGAAATGATTAGCATGGAAAAAATAATCATTAATTATAAGATTATCATCCAAAATAAAATTAATCTATGATTGGGTTTGTTCAGCATTTTTTAGAACCAAAAAAGAAAAAAAAATGCTTCACCCAGTTACTAATTACAGAAGATTACTCGATCAATTAGCCACTTATAACTAATTAATTATATGGAAGGCAACAAAGCAAAAACATCCAAGTAGAAATAATGAAGCACAAGAAGTACAGATGATCCATAAAGCAGAAGCGGAAGTTCAGAAAACCTGAAATCTAGAAATGTACAGATCTTCACCGAATCCCGCACGGAGGCCATCCACCGGCTTCACATCCGGATTCCGCTCCATGAACGGCGCGCTAAGGTTCACGAGAGCCTTAACCTTATCCGGCCGGAAAGCGCAGAGATTCCAAGCCACCTGCGCTCCCCAATCATGCCCCACCACGAACACCTTCAATAAAACCCAAAAATTAAATTTTGATATCTCTGCTCTGTTCATATTTCTCAGATGATTTCATGGATAAGGGCTCTAGGGGCTGTCCGGCAACAAATTTAGAGCAGGATTTAATCTGAATGCAGGCTAGGACAAAATAAAACCTCAAATTTGATAAATTTGGATTTTTTGAATATCTGCCGCAAATCCCGGAATTACTAAATCCCAGGAATTGATGGATTTAGAGGAAGAGTTATTCGATTTGTTCTACTTATTTGCCAAACAGTTATGCTGGATTAAAATCCTAATAATTTAGACGTCATCTTTTGCTAAACAGCCCTTGGAAGTCGTCAAACCTGGCCTTCGCCGAGAGAGTCGATAAGGGCGACGATATCGCCGACGATGTGGAAGATGGAGTAGGCTGCGATGTCTGGCGGAGCTTCGGTGTCGCCATAGCCACGGAGGTCGGGGGCTACGGCTCGGTAACCGCGGGCGGCGAGGGAGAGGATCTGGTGGCGCCAGGAGTACCAGAGCTCCGGGAAACCGTGGAGGAAGAGAACCACCGGCCCCTCTCCCTTCTCTGCTACATGCATCTTTATTCCGTTCACCTCAACCGTTCTATGTATGATCCCTCCTCCCTCCATCTGTGATGCGCAGCCAAACGCAGGAAGCTTTGACACGGAAGAAGATTCTTTCTGAACTGCCTCCAATGCGTTAGCAGCGCTAAAATGGAGAATCCTAAAACGAAAATGATTGGTAATGTGGAACAATGATCATTCAATTAGTTCACATGTATTTCATGTGGCCAGCTCATCTATTGGAACTTTCATTAAAGATAAAAGCTTCTTAATTTTATATGTAATGCTTTTAAATGTTTATAACTCTTATATACAATTCTAATAGAAAAATATGAAAGCTGTTTTGATGTGGTGGTTGAAAGTTTTATTTTCAATGGGGTGTTTGATATGTATTTTTAACAAGATATATGTTATGATTTAATGCCAAATCTAGATTTATTAAATCTGGTCATAGGTGGATTTAGGTGATTTAAGTGAAGAAGAAACATATCTATGGGTTATCAACCTTTTTCGTCACCAAAAACTTAGTCGAATCAAATAAACCTCTTTAGATTTGAGTATTTGGATTTGATAAATCCGAATTTACAGAATTTAACAAAGCCAACACCACACGAGTTAAGAACTCATTTTCAAAATAATAAAATAAATAAATAAATCAAGAAGAACTATATTCAATGTCTTACATGTGTGCATTTGTAAATAATATCTTTCAAAAAAAATTTAAAATAATAAAAATGATAAAAATGATAATAAATGCTGGACAAATAAGGCTGGACATAATTATGTGATTATGGTGACAAATGCCATCTTCTAACTAAATCCAACGCTTTGTCTCGTTCTTGTTAGGTGGCATCCACTTCAATTTTTCTTGGCAAGTTAGGATTATAACTATCTAAAATGGAAGAAAAAAAACTATTACGTTTGATTGTCTGTATGTGTAGTAATACAATCAAAGTGTATAATAAATTTGCTCCTCTCTAGTTAGGTGTCGAACACCATGTATAATGTTTTCCCTTAGGTCTATTGTTCACACATACAATTACAATGTATAATATTCTATCCTAAAATGGAGTCATTCTTGTTGAAGTATGTGAAAATGTAATGTAAAAATATTCTACACATGATAAAAATTTAATCCAAATGTTTGGTAGCTACAATTCCATTATCCGTGTTATTCTAAAGTCTAAGTAACGGCATGGATCACACTACATCGGAATGCAAGCAGCGTGGTGCAGTTCATATCGTCGTCTAAATAGAATATTTTCTATAATGGATAAAACATGTGTTTATAAAATGCTTAATTTACTTCAAATATGGCTGATAAAATTATGTCATTATCCAAAGCCAATGAGTAATCTATTCAACCATAATTTCTTACTACACTAGAATGCAATTCTTTCATCACAACAATGCATAATTTAAATCTGTTGATATCATTATTAGATATTGAAATAGATTGTTTCCAATAAGAAAATCATATAAAATATATTTATCGAGCTTTTCTTTAATAAATTATTTAAGTCTAGTTCGGTTTGTGTCTTATATTTAAGCCATTTGGTAATGAATGAAAGATATTTGGGAATGTTGAAAGAAGTAACATATCATAGCTTATTTCAAAGCTATAAATGCTTGTTGTGCTTTACATGACCAGAAAGCTCTTTTCTTGCTAGAAATGCAGTTTATGGGGCTGCAATATTAGTATAATGCTGGACAAATAAGGTAATAGTATCTTTTTAATGACATAAATCCTTTCATAAAATTTTTCGAAGAACTGGAAGAAGTTCGCCATCACTGCACTATCTCAATTTTCTTATGATCACTTTATATCCCATAAGTTTAAACAACTAATATAATTTCTTAATGGGAAATTTGACTTCACATGTAACATAATACTAGAAAGTGGAGAAATATGATGGTTATTTATTTTCTTCAATATGTCTGAAAGTTTATTTTTGATATCCAAGTATTATTAAAATTTGAACATGATTAAAATATGAGTCAAACAGTATTCAAGTATGATCAAAATATTGATTGATAAGAGTTTTAGAATGATTTCATTTGAGAATTGCTCAAACATGAATCGAATAGAGGTTAAAGAAAATTCAAATAAATTTTAAACATTACTTTAACCAGTTTTGGTGATGTTCGATGAGGATTCAAATAAGGTCCAAACACAATTAAGCTAAAGTCGAGCATAATTTGGACATTGTTTGACTAGGATTCAAACAAACTTCTAATAAGATTTGGTTATGAAAGATACAACAAAGTGCATTCCTTAAGCTTAATAGTGGCTGATAAAACTATTTATCAAGCATGTCAAACAAGAAAATTTATCACAATCAAAGTTATCACAACAGTTGAGTCATATGCCATAACAAATGTCTATAATGCTTAAGAAAAAGTGTAAATCAATAACTATAACATACCATAATAATATGCATTACATTACTTGAAGAGATCTCCACAATAAGCGTGAAATAGACCACAACTAATGTGCTATAATGTCGCATATATAACAAAGCATATATAAATACAAAAGTAATGTATTTGTTGTGAAGTAAATCTACTTTGAACAATTATAATGCAAGGAAACAAATCTGCACATAAATTGTAATTGTGGAATTGCATTTGCTTAGGTATAACTTTTAGAATACTTATATTTTTTAAATTATGCACATGATGTGTTTATATTGCATACATTTCACATCCATCACAATAAACATATAAGATGTAACAAGATTCATTATGATGGTCGTTGTTGAGAAATTAAGGCAAAGAAAAAGCAAGAATCAAGAACAAACATAAGGATTTAAAGAGGTTTGACAATTTGCCTACGTCCTCGTGGCTTTTTGATTTCTTGAAAATAAGTACATCTTAGTAGGGTTGCAATATAATACATATATAACCCTACAGTACAATATGTAATTATATAATTGCCCTATACCGTACCGCAGAGCGTTGCCCCGACACCCCCAACCCACTTAACGAAACTCCCCCGATTGAACAGATACTTCCGCTTGCGAGCTCCGCTCCGCTGACTCGCTCCATTCCGCTCCAGCATTTGTCCTTTATCTAGTATATGAGTCATACCTAACAGTCATTTTCTATTTTTTTGTTAAATAACTTTGATGGTTCCAAACATAGAAAATTACTTGTATGATGGCGTATCATCGCATGTGAAATCTGTGTGAGGTGTAACTGGTATCATCATCATAAAATAAAAATGGCTTCAATGGTATTGAGATCTCTCATCTAATAAAACTTATTTCATTTTATTAGATAATGTGTGATTTTTACATGAGTCCACAACTTCAAATACTTATCACACCTTCCAAAAATGCACATCAGAGCAAGTTCAGGTAACCTGAAGGAATCATTTCGCCGTATAATACATAGGGATTGTAGATTTATATCTCTAAATAAATATTTCATCAAACACAATAGACTTTGAGTAGAGGCATCTCCACTCCCCTGTTATGAAACATATAAAAAAAATCAAAATGATATAAGAGAAAATAAAATTTTGAGTTAGTGAAAAGAAGATCTAATTTCTCAAAAATTGTGGACCTTCATATCTGTCCATTCACCTATTCATTTTCACCAACAAAAAAAATTTTCATCGGGGCATTATTTGATAAAACAGGTTGCATGAATCAATATGTGTCCAAAGGGTTGGAGTTTTATACGAAATTAACATATATAT